AGACTCATAGCATGGGAATCGAAACCCTAGAAGAAGGATGCAACTGTAACAGCAGTAGCAGTAGTACGACACAGTAACGGGTTTTGAAGTTGAAGAGGGTGCCAAAAGTGTGGGTAGTGTTAGTTACAGAGAGAGAAAGAGAGAAGGTGATGAATGATGGTGGTGGCTAACGTGCGCACTGGTGAAAGCTGAGGGGGAAGAAGAAAGGCGCCTTAGAAGCGCGTTGAGATACTTTCACATTGCTTATTTAGTTTTAATTAATTGCTGAGTTAATCAAACGGATTAAATATTTTCCTAACCAATATTGCCTAAAACTTGTACCTTTTTCGTCTCTTTTGAATTTATTTCTTGTTTTATTTTAATTAATTTACCGATGAAGTTTTCGGTAAGCTCGAATTTGACCTAGTTCTTGCTTCGCTTTCCCCGTCGTTGTCTTTTTTTTCTTTTCTTTTTCTTGTGGTCAATTTATGGATCGTGATCCCTAAATTTGAAAATAAAATTGCAATTTACGAGTATCGTTGACCAATGAATCCAATTTGACATCGAAACACAGAAAATAAAATTGTGGGTTGATGTGATCGTGTGAGAATATCCCTCCCGGGCATCTATAAGAAGCAGCCTCTTACAAGGTGCTAGAACGAATTGTATTGAAATATATGTACTTTTTATATTTTTTTTCAGTTAAAATATGGGGAGTTAATTAATTTGAAGCACTGTATTTTTTTTGTTTTACAGCAATAAAGTAACAATGAAATAATTTTGTATTATGTTGAAGTTGACAAATTGGATTTAAAGCGAAAGAAAAGTGAAAAGGTAACGTAACGTGCAATTTGAATGGCGGAGACAGACAAACGCTACGCGCTTCTCTCGTTTCAAAACCGCTGAAGCGTACGTAATAAAAAAATAAAGAAAGAGAGAAAAATCACCACTTTCAATTTTGAACGCTAACACAATATGGCTCTATATTAAAAAAAATAGAAAATACATTTTAATGTGTTAGTTAATTTTAATGTTGAAATAAAAATGTTATGAATATATGTCCAGTCTTTGTAAACTGTATTTTCAATTG